TGCATTAAACTACTTCAAAAGCAGTGAAACTGATACACTTTTCGTTGATGGCATATCAAGTGCATGAGGAATATCTCTGAAGGTAAGAGTGACTGCTGAGCTGTGATTTATATGCCTTTACTTTTTTATGAATGCAATCCCAACAGTTACAACAAGCAGACAGTGTCTGGCTTATGGAAGTCAACTGACTTTAGGCAGGCTCTTCACAGCCTGATATACAGAGAGCTGATATATAGAATGTCCTGAAAAACAAAACTGAAGCTTAAATTCTAAACCCTAAAATCAGCGAATAGTCTGAATTTCAAATATAATTTGGTTTGCCTTTCTGATTTCTCACTGTTCAACACTGGGCCTGAAAACAGATAGAAATAGGGGTAAATAAAAGTGATTTTTAAAATAATTGATCCTAGAGATGTCTTTCTTTTCTTCATGAAAATAAAGGTAAATGTCAAACACATCTTTGAGCGTCTAGTATTTACTATTGCAATTAAATTATCACCATTATGTTAATAGTGACAGCCACAAGAGAAAAATTTCTCGTTAAAATTGCCATTTCCACCTTCTTTTTCAAGCAAAAGGTTTGCCTAAGTTCCATGGAGGAGAGGAAAACATACAATTTGCTCCTTTGTATACTCTCTTTTCCTGTTTCTCTACAAAAATATTCAACCACACCTGAATTACCCCATATACAACAGAAAGAATATACAGACGTAACAGGAGAGTCAGTCTGTGTATCCAACCACTATGATCAAGCCTATCAACTACATTATAGAAGAGTTTACTTTTGCTGAATTGTTATGTTCTGTTTTAGAGATATCTTTTCATCACTGAAGAAAACATCAAAAGATTTTAGGCTTTGACATTCACATCCAGGATAAGTTTCAGAGTCTTTCATCAACCACTGAAACTGGATTAGCACCAGAAAGTATTTAACAGTCTCTACCTGACTAGAGAAGAAACCGAGAGACCTTTGGCTTAGCAAGAATCTATAAAATGCGATTATTAATTTCAAGATATCATACATTTAAAATGGAATTCTTCAGCATTCTTTGGGAAGATTTGACTCCAAAATTATGAATTGATGAAGAGCTGATGAAGAGTCTGACTGAAGAGAATGTCAAAATCCAGAAACAAAATAATTAAACTAATAGTTACGAAGGACAGCCTGGGAGAGCCGATTTAACAAGTTAAGATGGGCTTATAAAAGTTTCAGGTCAGAAAGGAAACACTGCTTTTCAATTTAATTTCCAAATATTACCCTTGTTTCAGCTTACAGTGTATTAGAGGAGTGGATAAAATTAGTCCTTAAATTAATTTCTTTCCTTACAGAAACGGAGAACAAAATGTTTACTGGTTTGCAGTTCAGCAGTGATGGCCCCAAGCCTGGCCTCTTTGTAGTCACTGAAATGTATGGAACTGTTTTCAAGAAACCCACATAATCTGGAAGCAAAAGTGACAAAACAATGTCACTGAAATTGCCTTTATTCAGAAACACTGCAAAGGTGGTTTGATTTCTTGAAGAAGTCAGACCTGGATGGTGGCATTTGAATTGCTGAATTTTCCTAGCTCTTATCATCAGTAACAGATGATGTATTTAGTTCTAAAACACAGTTCAGTACTGCTGGAAAACTAGGAAGATGCTGTGCTGCAGCTGAAGCCACGAAACGCATCCAGTTCACAAAATGAACTAATGTATGCTTGAAAACTGCAATAGTTAAAAAGTGAAAAATATAAAATTCTTGAAATACTATTTGAAAATAAGGTAACTGCTTGTAGAAAATGGATGCAAAATTCCCACAGCTTTTGAACAGGCAAAGCATGAAAATGTGCCTGTAAGGCACAGAATTGCCTTTTTTATAAAGCTGCATGAGCATGACAAAATTAACAATTTCAACTTTTCAGAAATTGATTCAAAATACATTTCTTTTAGCTATTTAAATGATATTTCATAATAGCATTATAACAGAACATTACAGATTCTATCAGAAAGACTGAAAACAGTCATGTTTAAAATCAGAAACAAAGTGAGTTTGCAGTTTTCCATGATTCACTGTAATGTAATCATTAATCCATGTGTTAATACAAATCAAAGCATTTAAACAGTTGTGATTTTTATAAAATTTAATCATTTAGTTAACTTATGAAATCATTTTTGTCCATTGCAATGCATAATGTACAGCAATGTAATTTTTCTTGTTCTACAATATTCCTGTATTAAAATAAAACTATTAAAAATCATATTTACAGAAATAATTACTGATAAAGAGATTAAAATATATATTCAAGGAGAAATTTTACCTATTGGAGCTCATGCTCGTTCAGTAAATCAGAACCTGTAACTTAACATTTTTACATTGGACCTCTGTTATTAATTCCTTGCAGTAACTAATGTCATAAATTTTTCTAAACATAAGAAAAAAGGAAATCTGGTAAATAAACAGATTTGAGATGACACTTTATTATTTTCTGTAGCTAAAAACAAAGAATAGTCCACTAGAAATATAAAACTATCAGAACGAGCAAAAGTCTAATAGTATTAGACTTTATAGTAGATTTTACTATTCAGTCCTTGTCTATATAGCAAGAATATGACTAAAGATATAGTTACTAGTCTTGAGTCTCAGTATCTGTCATTTTATGAAGATCACTGCACAGTTTCAAATTTGTGTGATGCATTTGAATAGTTTTAGACCTATAGCAGAGGTACTTCTGCAACTCATACAGTTCGTAAAATGCTTGCCCATACCGGTTTCCCGCAGACAGTCTGAGATTGCAAGGCCCAGTTCTCAGCTCAAGTAAGGTCCAGTGGAGCTACTGATTTACCCCAGCTGTAGATCTGACTCTGATGACATGCCGAATTATTGTTGATCCCAATGCAAGTTTCTATGTGTATATTATGAGCGTTACAGTATATGACCCTATGTAGCTCCCGAGTCATAGCCATTTAGTTAACTGAAAAAACAAATGTTTACTTCTAGCAGTGCTGCTGAGCCATTTACTGTCATTATTATTAAACTGCAGGAAAAAACCCTATGTTTTAGTGTGCTTATGCATTCACAGAAAAAATGTTAAGACCCTGATTTTAAGATCTGCATCACTGTTGACAATTAATGGCAAGTGACAGTCAAAACTGAAAGAATAAAGCATGATTTTCAAATATCTGACAGAGTATGAAGAACTGGCAAATCTTAAATTCTCTCCTGCTGTCAGATATCATACTTCTATTTGGACTACATTTCGTGCATATCGCAAAATTAACTAAAATACCAAATCATACAGATTTAAGAACATACTTCAATAAAACTGATTCATATCTGGGTGCTGATAATTTTGAATATACTAAGACAATATATTTATCTTATTGATTTAACATTTAAATTTGCAAGCATCCCATAGGCCAAAGAAAACAAAAAACTAATAAATATGCTGAAAAACTCCATACCTCAGTATGAAATCCTGACCCCTTCTCCAACTAAGTACACACAGTCCAAATACACTGAGAATGCCAAGCTACAGGGGCCCCTCTATGGGGAAACCTGTATTTCAGTCAGCAGCATCCATCAGCCAAAATAGAAGTGTAGGGACAGATGCTAGAGAAAGGATGACACTTTAAAGTGGCGGCCGATTTCAGAACGAGCGTGTGGTTCTGTGTACAATTAAGTCAATACCATACTTGTATTAACGCAGTATTTTAGCCAGATTTATGTGCAGAATATAACTATCACTCTAGGCTCATTTTAGTATAGGTTTATGGTGCTAATTAGGCTCCTGGTTCTGCAGTCCACCCCGACTAGGCCACTTGGTGTCACATCTCCCAGCAGGGTCGCACAAGGCAATGAAGGAGAGAGCAAGTGTGTCGTACAACTCCCTCTGCTCCTGCAGCAAATAAAGTCTACCACACTTGGGAGACGATTGCCAACTTGAAATCCACAGGTCTCAGCCTGAGGCGTGTTTAGGCAGCGCCGTGCCGGTGCTGCGTTCCCTCCGTTTTGGGCAACCTCTGCACGTGGCAGCAGGCAGGTTTGAAGGCCAGGCAAAGGCAGGCAGGAAACTGCCACGTCCATTTTCTTTCTTGTGGATTAAAAAAGGCCTGGGCGGAGGTTTGGTTAACTTGTTAAAGCCAGAGCTAAACCGAAGTTGCGGTTAGCTTACAAGGGAAGCGGTGTGACAGGCAGCCGCCTGCGAGGGGAACGAGCGCCGCAGCGTCCCCCTGGGACCCGTTTATACACCTGGCACCAGCTCCCGCAGCTCCTCTCACCCCACGGACGCAACCCCCGCGGCGGGACCGTGACTTCTGAGCCGGCAACCGCTGCCGCCGGGCCGTGACAGCCCCCGCCCG